AAGGGCATCTTAATATTCAAAATGCAATTCAAGAATTCAGTTAGGGCTCTGAGATATGAGGGGCAAAACAAGTTTTCTTACTCCACATGCCTCTGTTTATCTAGCAGTAATTAGGAACCTGGTTCTTAATTGATTTGTGGATCATTTTCCAAGGGTAATAATCCCTCAAAAAAAATTGGTCATGCAATCCATGACTGTTTGTGGGACACTGTTGTGCATCATTTCCTGCTGCATTTTGCCCACAAAATATACAGTCAATTTACTTCACAATATATTTTATGAAGGGCTTTGAGACATCTAACAGTGTGCTAAGGCGCTGCGTCAAATGCAAGGATTAGTATTATTATCATAATGAGTTGTGTAAGTTTTTTAATACTTCTTTTTAATTCTTCGATAAAATAGATCACAGTGTTTTTATCTGGTTCAGCACATTCTTGTGTTACTCTGCAGTGAAGCACTGCGATGTCAGCTCTGATTCACATTCTTCCAAGGTAAGAACATGGTATGTGAGAGGACTAGATGCACAATCAATGAACGCACATTTTAGGTTAATGGTGGTTAGGTATTGCATTAGACAGGGAGACTCTTCTGCTACTATGTTCAGATGTGGCTTCCCTTTCCAATCTATAGCCTTTTAGACCAATATCCCAAAACCAAGATCGCAAGACTGGTTGGATGATGATTGCCCTTTGGCCCATTCAATCGCATCCTTCCAGAATACCAACCAATACAGCATGAAGCTATTTTTAAACAAGTCAAAGGGCTCACAGAATATACTGTAAATTATATTGACTGTATTTTGTGGGCGAAACGTGGCAGCAAGTTGTGCACAGCAATGTGCCACAAACAACAACAACAACAAGATTCCATTTATAAAGCGCCTTTCACGTCAGGAGGACGTCCCAAGGCGCTGCACAGTTGGGTCATGACCCGAGCAGGGGGGAAATGGTCAGGGTGAGGGGAGGGGAGCGAGGAGGGGGGAAATGGTCAGGGTGAGGGGAGGGATGGGAGGGAGCGAGAAGGGGGAAGAGAGTCGAGAGGGGAGCTGAAGGCTCGGTCAGAGAGAAAGGTTTTGAGACCGGCCTTGAAGGAGGAGAGGGAGGAAGCAAGGCGAAGGCACTGGGGGATAGAGTTCCGGAGCCTGGGGCTGAGAGGCTGAAGGCCTGACCACCAATGGTAGGGCGATTGGGGCGGGGGACGTGGAGCAGACCGGAGCCGGAGGAACGGAGGGTACGGGCAGGTAGGTAGGGGGATAGTAGGTTGGAGAGGGAGGAGGGAGCAAGGCCGTGAATGGCCTTGTAGGTGAGGATGAGGATCTTGAAATCAATCCTCTGGGGATGGGGAGCCAGTGGAGGTGAGCGAGGGTGGGAGTGATGTGGTCCCGAAGCCTGGTGCGGGACAGTACACGAGCTGCAGAGTTCTGAATGACCTGCAGCTTGTGGAGGGAGGTGGCGGGAAGGCCGGCGAGGAGAGAGTTCCCATAGTCCAGCCTTGAGGTGACAAAGGCGTGGACCAGAGTTTCAGCAGCGTGAGGGGTGAGGTAATGGGGTAGTCTGGCGATGTTCCGGAGGTGATGGAAGGTGGTGCCAGTTGTGGTGCGGATGTGAGGGAGAAAGGACAGCTCAGGGTCGAACAGAACCCCGAGGTTCCTGACTGGCTTTGAGAGGTGGAGAGTGCAGCCTTGGATGCTGATGGTGTCGGCGCCTGAGGTGCGGAGGCGCTGACGCGAACCAATCAGGAGGGCCTCGGTTTTTCGCACGTTGAGCTGAAGAAAGTCGTGGATTGAGTGACCAAATTATTTATTTATTTTGAAGGGATTACTACACCCAGAAAGCAATCTGCCAATCAACTTACCACAGTTTCCTATTTACTAGAGGCTTGTGGAGTAACACAATTTGCCCAAGGTTTCACTGCCTAGGAATTGAATCCGGGTCCTTTTGCTTGAGTGCTCTAACCAATACGCTACAGGTCTCCACACTGCCCATGCAGCCTATTGGAGTATCAGCCTAGACTGTGAATTCCAAGTCCCAAAGTGGGGCTTGAATCGGCAACCTTCTGACTCAGATGAGAGACTGCTCCTCACTGAGCCAGGCTGACATTTAAACTTAAGACCAGGGTGAAACATTCCAAACAGATTCCTGTTGATTTGGGTGAAGAGTAGTATTACTGGGAAAGCACTGAGGCAGAAGAGAGATAAAAATGATCTAGTAGGGTCTTGCATGAAAACCAAACCAGAAGGAGATAGATGGGCAACATGTCATTTTTGTCCTTTGTAAAATGCACCAATAAATTCCAAAATTCAGGAATTTATTGATCGGCTACGAAGAGATTTGAGCGGATTGACCTCCCTATAAGGCGAGATTCTACATCCTACGTATTGGCACTCAATATAATTCCGAGAATTTATTACATGCTTGAGTCGTGAGATAATGGAGAGAATTCAGATAAGATGCATTTATCTGATTATCAGTTCGTTTTAGCATCATGGCCACAAACATTCCTGGTGGCCAGTGGGGTGGGGGAGGGGAGTGTAACAACTAATATTCTGAATTAGAGTACAAGTACTTGGAGTGCTTAGAATTGGCGTACAATAAAATTTGAATTTTGTGCAAAGTTGTGCAAATTACAGAGACATGTAGTGGCGTGATTAGAGCACTTGCCTTGCAACGAGAGGGGCTGAGTTGAATTCGCGGGCAGAGCGAAACCTTAGGCAAGTTTCCTCAAACATGCCTCTGTTTACATAGCAATAAGGAGGAACTCGGTTGTTAGTTGATTAGCGGATTGCTTCCAAGGGTAATAATCCCTTAAAAAAATGTTTGTAGGACACTGCTGTGTGCAATTGGCTGCTGCGTTTCCCCACAATATATACAGTCAATTGACTTTACAGTATATTCTGTGAAGCGCTTTGATAAGTCTCAATGATATGATAAGGCGCTATATCAAATGCAAATATTATTAGTGGTAGTAGTAGTATTGTATGAGTTGGTTTGAATAAGAGCAGCTTCTTTCTGGCGTTAGCCACACTGACACCCAGCTATTTACTCGAAAAACAGTTCAGTATGTTTGGTCACATTGATTACAGTCGTGCTCTTAATTGGGAGGCATTTTTCCAAAGCGGGAGCTTTCGATGACTGTTCTCTCCCATTCTTCATGAACTACCTCCAGTCGTTCTCTTGTGATTGCAAAATCACTTGAAATGGCAGATTGTGATAAAATTGACAGATCAATAGAAAGAACCCCAACTGGGGCAGGTGTCCTTTTTCAGACCTTTTTCCCCCTCAAATCGTTGACTGCTGATACTTTTTTAGCAAAGTATGTTTTGTAATCTTGATGCTGATTTAAAAACAAAATCCCAAGTCCTCCACAGTGTTTTTAAAATCTTTGTTAAAAGAGGAAGAAATTAAATAATGTCCTACGTAGTAGTCTGTCTGGTGTGTTCTTCATCTCACCCAATTCCTCATACCCAATGTTCCACCATCAGCGGGCCTGCCTTCAGCCACTATAATAATCCTTACATTTGATGTAGTGCTTTTCACGTCGGGAGGACGTCCCAAAGCGCTATGCCCCTGTTTTATGACATTCTCTCCTCAAATCACCATCCCTTTCGCCTTTGTACCCCTGCATTCAAAACCCTCCTGAAAATGTAATACTAATCATCCTTGCATTTGACATAGCGCCCTATCACGCCGTCAAGACGTCTCAAAGTGCTTCCCAGAATATACTGCAAAGTGTAGTGACTGTGTTTTGTGGGCAAAACGCGGCAGTTAATTGCGCACAGCAGTGTCCCACAAATAATCGTGGTTGGGTGACTAAGTTATTATTATTTTATTTAAAAAAATATTTTTGAAGGGTTTATTGCCCCGAGAAATCTGTTAAACCGTGCCTTTAGTCAATAATAATAACCCTTGCATTTGATATTGCACCTTATCACGTTGTTGAGACTCTCAAACTCCTCCCATCCTTTTCTCCCCACTCTGTGATGCCCACTGTCCCTGTGAAGTGCTTTGACATGGTCATTCCATATTCAGAATGTTTATTATTATTGCATTTGATAGAGATCCTTATCATTTTGTCGAGACATCTCAAAGCGCTTTGTGAGCTATACTGGAAAGTGGTGTGACTGTGTATTTTATGGGCAAAAGTTATGAGTGTAAGTTGTTGTACATTATTAAACCGAAATTATTACAGGGATCTAAAGTACAGGATTCTGAAAGGATTCCTTCACAAAACAGTCCTGTTAGAAATCCTGTGGGAATGCCTCCTTTGGGAGTAGATAATAACAATAATAATAATAATAATCCTTGCATTTGATATATGCAAAAGGTAGTGTAAATTTGAAACTCTCTCCCCCAAAAGGCTGGAGATGCTGAGATCCATTCAATTTTCATGACTGACGTGGATAGATTTTTGTCAGATAAGGGTATCAAGGGATATGGGGCAAAGGCGGGTAATTGGAGTTGAGGTAGAGATCAGCCATGATCAGATAGAATGGCAGAACAGGCTCACAGAGCTGAATGACCTATTCCTGTTCCCATGTTTCTATGTAATAATAATAATCCTTGCATTTGATATAGTGCCTTTTCACGTCTTCGTGACGTCTCAAAGTACTTCACAGAATATACTATAAAGTGAATTGACTGCGTATTTTGTGTGCGATATTATGTATTGCTATATTGGTCTAAAAGGCTATAGATTGGAAAGCGAGGCCACATCTGAACATAGTACCGAGAAGAGTCTCTCTGTCTAATGCAATACTTAACCACCATTATTCTAAAATGTGCATTCATTAATCATGCATCTAGCCCTCTCACATACCACGTTCTTACCTTGGGAGATCGTGAATCAAACTTCCTCACTGTAGAGGAACATGGGAATCTGAAGAACCAGAATAAAAAATATTGTGGTCCATTTGCCAGAAAAGTTCAGTGTATTAGTGCTTAGTGAAGGTCAAATTGATGTAAAGTTTGCCATTCTAACCTGTCTGATGGGTTGCTTTTCAGCCGGAGTGACGACCGAATCCATTCAAGCTGGTAGTGCAAGTCCTGATTTACAAGGGGCAGATGCCAAAGTCCAGGAGGAAGAGGCAGACCTCACGGATGATGACATTACTGCAGGTAAGAAAAAGGTCCTGCTTCTATACCTGTGACTCTTCTGTGCATTTCTATCAAGAGATCATCAGCATTCTCAAGTTACATTGCCAGATTATACCTGTAAATGTAGTACCAACCTGCAAGGCATTGGTAAACTTTGTACATTTCTAAATGTACTGTAAATCCAATGGATTGTCTTACTACCTAGGGTTAGGTTATAATGGGGTTTATTGTTTTATAGGGTTGGGATCGGGGATTAATGCACGTTAATGATTTTCTATTGTGGACAGCGATTGTGGTCAAAATGAACTCATGATTTCTGCCAATGGACAATCGATCAGACTTTATAACTCTCCCTACCTCTGTGACCTGCTAACTCCATACCGACCTGTCTGCTCCCTCCGCTCAGCGGGTTCAGCCCTGCTCCATGTCCCACCACTCTGTCTGCCCCACCATCGGCGGTTGGATCTTCAGTCTCTCTGCCCCCACTGTTTGGAACTCCATCCCACAGTCCCTTTGCCTCGCCCCTTCCCTTGCCTCCTTCAAGGCCCTTCTCAAGACCTACCTCTTCGACCGCGTCTTCGGTCACCCTCCCACGCCTACCCTCCCTGCCCTCCACCCCTCCTGATCCTAACCTCCAGCTCTGGTCCAAAACCTTGATGGTTCAGCGCCTTGGGACGTCCTCTTGATGTGAAAGGTGCTAAATAGATGCAATATGTTGCTTGTCCTCACTGGCAAATAACTCACTCGAGCCAGAAAAGCATCTTGACTTATTGGCCATTCAATAAGAAGATGAGTCGTCTATGGGCTTGTACTCTTGACAGATATGAGCAGCGTCTGCAATAACTGTAATTGGGTGAAAGTTGCTTTGTGTAATGATGATGTAGACCTTGGCAAACAAGGTGAGAATTGTTTTGTGTCCTGATGACATTTTATCGTGTGGTTCATGTGCAGGAAAGATTTGTCTGTTAACCTGCTGATGGGCTTGGGGATGGGTGGTTAGGGATTGTAGTTAATTGAGAATGGCAACAGTGCCACCATGGAAACCAAGAATGCTAATAATAATAATAATCCTCGCATTTGATATAACACCATAACACATTATTGAGATGTCTCAAAGCACTTCACAGAATATATTGTAAAGTGGATTGACTGTATTTTGTGGGCGAAATACAGCAGTCAATTGCACACAGCAGTATTCCACAAATAATCGTTTATTTTTTGGGGAGGGATTATTACTCCTGGAAAGCCATCTACCAATTGACTGACAACCAGTTCCCTACTTACTGCTAGGCAAACCGAGGAATTGGATTGAGGAAACTTGACTAAAGTTTTGCCCTGGTCAGGAATCGAACCCAGGTCGTCTCGCTCACGAGTCGATCATGCTAATCACTGTGCTACGGATCACATGGGCTCAAATTTCATTCCTATTAAAATGTTTCTCCCGTCAACGCCCAAGCTGAGAGAAGAACAATGTCAGATAAAATGTACGTACCTGTAGAAATTTCCCTGCGACTGGAATGGAATCCTGGCATTGGCCTGATCATACCAGGAACTGAATGGGAGGAATCCATGCCCCAGTGACCGGTGTGCCTACTGCTGAGCCAAGCTGGCTGGTGTGTGAGCAGTAGTGCCCTGGAGAACTGTGGTCCCACCTGGCTCAGGAAACAGACAAGAGACCGCCACAGAGGATTGACATGGCTCTGACATTTCATTGCCAAACATTCCTTGAAGCCAGCTCAGTGCAAAGAAGACCCACCCTGCTTACATTTCTTCTTACCCCTCCAAGCACAACAATAACTTGCACTTATGTAACGCCCTCCAGGCAGGGTAGCGTCTCAGCGCTTTACAGTGCCGGAGCCTGACTCTGTGCCGAGAGGGGGAGGTGACTGTAAGCATGGTCAAAAAGGAAGGACAGTCACTAATTGGTCATTTAGCATCCAACAAGCGCAAGTTTGAATCCTCAATACATGGAAGCAGGTAACAGGAACTCCTTGCCATCCAGTTCTGATCCTGTGCTGGCACAGCATCCAGTAATTTCCAGTAGAGGGATGAAGGATAGTGATCAGGTCTTAGAACCCTGGCGTTGGCCCACAAAACAGACACTCCATTTTATAGTATTAAGGATCAAGTGCTTTGAGACATCCTGATGTGAAAGGCGCTGTACTAGATGTAAGGATTATTATTATTTCCCCCCGTAGATGTGAACTATTGATGCCAAATATCAATTTATTTGTAGAATTCGCTTTTCCCCAAACTAGCAAATTAACCAGCGAATCTATGACCTGTGGAGAAACAAAATGAAACAGTATTAGCATTCAGACTTCTGTTCAAAACTTGCATGAAACTTTTATCCATATCTTACAAATTGTCTCTTGTTTAACTGGCTGAAGGTCATTTAAGGCTTTTAAGGACCATAGTAATCTTGTATGATCGTATGAAAAGTAATCAATTAAATATTAATGGACCATATTAAACATTCACTACAGACCTTGTTGTCCTACAGGAACAAGAAAAATGTAAAGAGGTTTTTGTTTGCTCTGTTCAATTGCTTAGTTTACCGGAGTACAAATTAAAAGTAATTCTATTATTTTTATTTCTAAATTTCCGAGGAGCAATTGTGCAAAAGCCGTAAGGGATTTTGCATTGGAAATGAATTGGATTTATTGTATTGATATAATGACTGCGCAGATTTTTTTGAGGATCAATTATTGTTTGTGTTTTCAAACATGACAAATCACAATCTCAGGAGAATATTAAAGGACTGAAAAGTATGTATGTGGTTTTTGGTGTTTAGATGTGTTACTGTGGAAGATGGCATCTTTTCTGTCATAATGAATGGAAAGGTTAAGATATGTTTGCTCTTTGATAGCTGAGCATTTGGCTCTGCTATTGACTGGAAAACCCTGATCCTGATGACCTTGGGTTTTTTCAGTGTTTGCAGATCCTTTTGCTCTGTAGGATGGTGATAGCTCTTTCTGCTGTGCTTGCAATGGATAATGTACATAGCTTTATATTTGACCACAGCTGCTTACTCACAGTCGTTTTTTTAAGTACAATTCTCATTTTTTTCTTAAAATAAATCATTTTCTGATTTTTCTGTTTGCTGAAGAAATCCAATATGGATATGGAGAGAAAAGGCGAGGAAGTGGGATTAGGGGAAGCAGTGGTGGAATGTTCCCTGGGTACTACTCAACTCCAATTTTATCTGTGTTTGCCCTATATTCCTTGATCCCCTTACCTAATAAAAATCTGCTCACCTCAGTCTTGAACATTTGAATGGATCCAGGATCCACAGCCTTTTTGGGGAGAGAGTTCCAGATTTCCACTACTCTTTGGGTGAAATGCTTCCTGATTGCACTGTCAGACTGTGAGTTCAGATCCTGACGTAGGATTTGATCCTACAATCTTCTGACTCAGAGGCGAGAGTGAGCCAGCCGGACACGTGAATGTACAGCATCAAAGTACAAAATTTCACCCACAAAATATACAGTCACTTCACTTTAGAGTATATTCTGTGAAGCGCTTTGAGACATCACAAAGATAAGACACTATATCAAATGCAAGGATTATTATTATCATTGTAAACTGGCCACTCGGCCTAACCAGTCTGAACTAGCGTTTATACTCCACATAAGTCTCTACCCATTCCTTTACTCCCTCCCATAAGCTTCATGGTATTCCTGCTTCAAGTTTGCATCATAGTAATGACAAGTGGATCTGATGAAGCAATCCAAAGTTTATTTAAAGGGTACTGTGTTAAACTTTCTAAACTTTCTAAACGAAAACATTGTGTAAGTACTCTGTAAATCAAAGCTTTATAGTAAATCATTTCTAGTATGTAGTTTCCCTACCTCTCCGACCTACTTACTCCCCAACCCATTACCCGCTGCCTCTGCTCGACTGACTCCGGCTTCCTGCTTTTCCCCTGTACCCTCCGTTCCACCATTTTTGGCCACTCTATCAGCCACAATGCCCCGAACCTCTTCCTCTATCCATCTGCCTTGCCCCCTCCTTCCGCCTGAAGACCTTCCACTTCGACCATGCTTCTGGTCACTTCCCCCCAGCTTGGCATCGTGCTCTGCCACTGTCAAGAACTCTGGGATGCTACCCCATGTGAGGGGCGCTATATAAATAGCAAGTGGTTGTTGTTATACTTTGTAAGTTGCCATTTTACATAGACTCTGCTTCTGTATCTGCAGCAAAGCTGCTGTTCATCTTTCTCATCTGTTAGCCCATTATCTCAAGAGGAGCTGAGCTCAGGCATGCACTCACTCTCATTGCCTGACAGAATCAGGACTATTCCCCACGGAATGGTTCAGGTTAGGGAGTCCAATGGCCTCCCGAGGTATTTGTAATGTCTACACTGCCGAGTTCCCAAAGGTAAATGTCAAATGAACGAGGACTTATTTGCCCAAATCGTCAGGTTTTAATTTAAGAAAGAACAAACAGCAACCTTCTGTCACAGCCAGCAGTAATGGTAGTTTGACTCTAATGGTGAGAGCACAGTCAGTCTTGGATCATTTTTTTTAAAAAAAATCTGCAAAAGCTCTTTCTGGCAGGATGAAAATGACTGCTGTGCTGTGCTTTTGCTGTGCTTTGCTTTGCCAGCTACATAAGAAATGAAGCCTTCAGAGATTTTTTTTTTATCCTGCAGTCTGGTGTCAGCCTGGCTCAGTTGGTAGAATTCCTGGCTCGGAGTCAGAAATTTGTGGGTCGAAGTTCCACGTTGGAACTTGTACACACAAGTGTAAGTGCTGTATTACTGGAGCTGCCGTCCTTTGAATGAGATGTCAAACTTATGTCGTTCAGGTGTAAGATAAAAATCCCACGTCACTATTCGAAAAGAGAAGGGGGTTTCTCCCAGTGTCCTCGCAAACAAACCCCCAAATAAATTGGTCTCTCACATCACAGTTGTTTGCTGGATATTGTTGTATGCAAATTGTCTGTTGTGTTTGCCAACAAATACACAGTCACCGTACTTTACAGTAAAATTCTGAGAGGTGCTTTGAGACGTCTCAAGG